TCAGTATGTGTAGGACATTGACCTGGCGACCGTCAAGAAGGAAGACCTCGCGTTCAAGTCGCCGTTCTCGGTCGTCTGCGCGCGCAAGGATTTCTGCCACGCGCTCGTCGCGTACTTTGACTGCGCGTTCACGCACTGCCACAAGCCGATTGCGTTCTCGACGGGCCCGCGGGCCAAGTACACGCATTGGAAGCAAACCGTGTTTTACCTCTCGCAGCCGCTGACCGTGCGCGCCGGCGACGTCATCGAAGGCACGCTGAGCTGCGTGCCCAACGCCGCCAACCCGCGCGACCTCGACATTGAGATTGACGTGCACTTTGACGGCGCCAGCAGCTTCCACGAAAAGCACACGTACTACCTGCGATAAACGGCTGCACCGAATGAACCTTTCTTTACCCTCTTCCTACACTATAATGTATGATGATCGCCCATCTGCATGACACGACGGAGCATGCAAGCGCTGTACTAGTAGTATCGTGTACGGCAAGGGTGGTGGCAACATCGGTCTTGCTTGCAGAGCCGACGTCGCCTTTACTGCATGATAGGAAGCAGGAAGCGACCGTCGCTGATGGCATCACAGTTGTATCGACTCGGCGGCTGCAAGCTCGCGAGGTTGGACGTGCGGCTGTCGTGGCTCGGCGCTCCATCCTCAGGTCAGGTCGTCCGCGTGCTTGTCATTGTGGACGACGTGCATGCACCCTTCTCGACGGCCTCGGCGCTCCATGCCCTCCGCGATGGCTTCTGTACGAATGGCGAGACACGGTCGTGAACGACAAGGAATCAACGGGCTTGCTTATAAAATAGATCGGGTGGTTCTCGTGCGTTCTAAATGTCGTCTTCAAACTCAATGCCCGAGTCGACATCGTCGTCGTCTTCCATGTCAACGTCGTCGTCGCCCATCTCGACGTCGTCGTCGCCGGCGGGCTCGTCGTCGTCGCCAATGACAATGTCCGGGTGCAGATTGTCGAGCTGCTTGGCCGCGTTTATTAAGTCTTCTTCGTTGAGGAGGTCGTCGTTGGTCATGGCCATGTCCTCGGCTTGCGTTTGCGCTTGCGGCGCCCAATCGATCGGGAACCGCGTCACGCGCGGCTTGTCGGCGAGGATGTTGCGCGCGAGCTTGGTAATGTCGACGTTCGCGGGCGGATTCTCGACCAGCGCCGGGTCGCTGTAGTCGTTGTTGACATAGTACCCGACGCGCACAAACTCGCGGCCCTTGTACGCGCACGTGACGAGCACGACCGTGACGCCAATCTTGTCTTCGTCCGGAATGAGCGCCGGGTTCGGCGGCTCGGACTGGAACACAAACTTGTTGGTGCCCACGGGCACGGGCCCGACGAGCACCTCCTCGAGCACTTGGTCGCGGCTCTCGTCCTCGGCCGACCCGACGTACGTGATCTTCCACTCGAGGTCGTCTTCGAGCGGGTGGGCGCACTCGAAGGTCACTTCGAACTGGAACGGATTCGTAAACGCCGTCGGGTTGTCCAGCACCGTGATGTTGGTGAGCGTCACGTAAGCCATCGGTCAATGCAAGATGGAAAATGGACTGAGCGACGCAGGCGGCGCCGAGTCCGGATACCACGAGGTGTCCGGATACAAAACGCGTTTCCCGCGTCAACGGCGCCAAAGGCGCCAATCAAATGGCTTCGCGCTTTGAAAAGATATCGGAGCGTGGGAGAGCGTCGGGAAGAGAATGTGAATGGACCGACGCTTGGACCTGGAGACCTTGGAGACATGGTGTTCCAGCATACTAACTATTGACGAGATGCTGGAAGAGAGAAGAGGTGCGATGCTGATGGAAGCGTCGACATGTCGACCGTAGCATTTGCCAAAGAGGAATCGCACATCGTTGTGAGCGCCATGTGTGCAAGCAATGTCATCGTGCAGCCTGTGCCGATTGCAGCAAGGACGTTTCCACCGATACATATATGTCCTCATCTTTCTCATCTTGTCAAGCAATCACATTCTACTGTCATCGAGACCCGTGGGTCTAAAGTGTGGTGCAATTTCAGCTCGGACCATCGCATTGAAGTGGACATTTCTTCGAGTGCGGAAGCGGTGGGTGGACCGCTGCAGACGTCCGCATATTCAAAACAGCCAGCCACGACCAGGTGAAAGAGTGGATGGACCGAGATGCAAGGTTAATAATTAGGCGTCGACTGAATGAATTGGTCAAGGAGCACTTGGCGTGGTTGGCGCTTTTGGCGCGCCTTGACACCAAAGAGGTCGTTGGGATCGCGACGATCCTCGGTCGTCTTCTTGGCCGCCGACGGCCAGAGCGCCTGGGACTTGGGTGCTTGCGAGGCCGCTCGTTTGGACTGCAACCAGCCATTGCTACCACCACTGGCACTGGCCTTCACAAAGCACTTGGTCAAACAAATGGCGTTCAACACGACGTTTACCGGCGGCGGTTTGGACGACAGCGTCGCGTTCGGAAATTGGTTTTCCTTTTGGAGCATTCTTGGCGGAACGTTCGGCTGCTCGACGTGCGTCACCGGCGCACAATACGCCATGTCCTCTAGACAGCATCGGCGCTGTGGTGAGCATGCTTGCTCGAGCAGCGACGCACCCGACTCGGCGTCCGAGACTTCTTCGTTGCCGTAAGTCGGCGGCGGGTCCCTGCGGCCGTCCTGCGACAGCTTCAGGTCGTCGGCAAAGAGGCTTTCTTGGGACAGTTCGGGGATCTCGTGGATGCTCTCTTCGTCGTACATAAAGTCGCCGTCGTTGGTTCGCGTGGGCGGCGCGTGGACCACATCTACACCGTAGATGTCGTTCGACGAGGTGGTGCTAGCGCCTTTAACTACCATCAAAGACAAAGCTGCCATCGTCGTCTTCGCTGTGCTCGAGATCCGAGAACGTCTACATTAGCGTCAGCAACCTCGCGTGTCATCGTCATCGCCACCAAATCGTGAAAGAATGCGTGGGGCATCTCAGTCTCGGCGTCCGGCATCCCATCGCTGGGAGCTGCCACGCCTTCTGTCGGTGCCATAGTCGGCAGAATCGCAGGTAACAACACGCCCAGGTCAAACATTGGCGTGTTGGCGTCGTCGGGGGATCGCGGCTCGGGCAGCGGCGGCCGCCGCACCGGCGTCATCACCTTGGTCGGACTCGCTACACGCTGACGCTTTGGCGGCGTCTGGGCGGCAGCAAAGGCGCCACTCCGGTTGTACAGAGCGCGGTTCTCGGCCATGCGGTCTTCGGCCTCGACAAAGAGCGCTATCGCTGCCGCCTCGAGCCGGACCGCCTCCCGAAAGTATGCTGTCGTCTCGACGTTGTAGTTCTGCGCGTTGTTGAAGACAATGACAACGTCGAGCTTGAACGCGTCAAAGCTCGCGTACTCGTGGCGCGTGATTTTCTGCGTCAACCCATGAGCCGATATCGATATCGTATATTGCGCACCCTCTCAATCGTCGAAAAGTCCATTGGCGTCGCAATCTTCTCGAGGTAGTCTGGCACCTACGGCGCGGTATGAGCGACGCGGTCGGCCGTGCCATGCATCGTACCGTCGACGTGTCGACGGGCTGGCCGAAGAAGCCATACGCGTCCTTCTTCTCGAGCTCCCGTAGCACATGCAGCATCATATCTTGGGCCATCTACCAAGGTCCTCGTCAGCATCATCATCATCCTGCGCAGGAGAGTACCTTCTTTGGGTCCGTCCCGCGCGCCCGCTGACTGCGCAAGCTCTCGCGCGCCGCCATCTTGATGTGAACACGGCCGCCTTCCCACAGGCTATCCGGATGACATACCGGATACGAGGTCGGGCCTCAAACAAGGCGCGTGCCTGGTTTGGCGCCTTTTTCGGGTAGTGTATTTTGTCCTAGTCTAGTTTTTGTCCCTTTTTTCCATTTTTTGTCCTAATTTTTTCAATCTTTGTCCTTGTCGACGGCCTCAAGTGCAAGCTGCGCTCTTGAACGACAACCACACGTCAACACAATGCGTAGAACCAGCTTGGACGAGCCACGGTGGACTGTCTCGAGGCCCGTGCATGACACCCGCCAGTGTCGTTGCGGAAGAAGATAATCATGGGGCAATGCAGGGGTGCAATGGATGGTTCTGTCCGCGGAGACTGGTCTCGCGCGGCTCACTCCTCTCATCTGAGAACGCGGCGCGTCATGGCGCCTCTTCGTTTGCAACAGACATGCAGAGAACGCAACGATGGAGGCACCTCCGCCGACCACAACGACGTGGAGTAGCCAGCAAATGCAACGTCTATACAGAGGACCGTCGCTCGTCTCTACGGCACTCTTTCTTGTCGCTACGGTCGTCGACCGCCTTGGACAGGGATGCGGAACCAGAGCTGGTCGCGTGTGCCAAGCTAGACAGGACCTTGCGTAAAATTCCTGTCATTTGATTGAAATTATTGCTGGACTCTGTGATTGGTTGCCAGCCTGATGGGGCGAGCGTGTGTCACGAAGCGACGGATGAGTCACTCGGAGGTGGACGAGCAACATGATGCTGCATGGCTGTTCACGTGCGAGGGCTACCACCGACGACACGAGGGATGCGATCGAATGCAGGTTCGTATGGATGTTGTTAAATAGACGTCATGGCTCAGCAGACCCCGGGGCTTTCGTTGTTGGAGATGCAGAGCTCGCGGTGGTGCTGCGTGCAGTAGCCCTCGCACTTGATTCGAGCGAGGCGGTTGCAATAGCCTTGGCGGCACACCTTGTCTTTGCGGTGAACTTCGCAGTAGCCGCCGCCGCGGTCGGCGCGCACGCAGCTATCAACCATGCACTTGGCCTTTCCGCCATGCTGGGCGCACGTGCTGCCTCTCTGGGCACCGCGCGGGCAGCCGTCGACACTGCAGCGCTTGCCGCCGCCGTGGCGCCGGCAAAAAGCCCCCGCCTTGACTGCTCTTGTTGCACC